CACTTTCCGAATATATAATGCAGTTCGTTTCTGATTCTTTGTCTGTGAGGATACATGCACATTTCTAGATGTAACCACAGAATTCGTGATATATAGATGTCTCTTGCATAACGTTTTTTATTCACATCGAACGCAATTCATAAGAAAATAGTTACATCGTGACTATACCCACAACGCAAGTGTATGCCAATGATCTCATACTTGCAATGCAACTATCCTTCACTATTATTTTCTAAATCAAGTAGTAATTTGAGAAATATTTTTAATATTTTCGACAAAACGTCATTCGACGAATTAACATTCGACGAAAAGTCATTCGACCAAAAATTATTCGACGAATTAACATTCGACAAAATGTCGTTCGACGAAATATTATTCGACGAGCTGACGTTCGACCAATAGTCATTCGACGATTGGCTACGTTCCCGTCCACCAGGCTTCATAGCAAAATCATTAACACTGTATTCAGCTGCTGTGTGTGTACGGGCGTTGTCAACAAGACAAACAAAATCGTGATCTTTGTAAGCTACTTTAAAATATAATAGCTGAAATAGACGTTCAAATTGTTTTAGGATTGTTTCATTATCAAAGTAGTTATTTCCACCAATGTCCATTGTTGCTGAGGCAGTTTGTGCTTCATAAGTGATATTTGAATCATTATTTAAATCGGGATATTTATTTGATGCTCGTTTAAATTCTTTATCCTTCAATGAAAAAAATGGTCCACTATTGTGCACCACCAAAAACTCAGATGCCATAATACTTCTCCCGCGTCCTTTGTTGTAGAACGGAGCATTATCTTCAAATATTCAACGTTTGGCAGATATTTTCCCGGATTTATAGGTGCTTTCATCGTGACCTTTAAAGACAAAATTCAGAAAAAGATGTTTTAATGAGTCTGAGAATTAACATCAACCAACAAACTTCTTACATAATAAAACAATTGGATGACCCGTTGGTTTAACCCACTTAGGTTGTTATCCCTCTGTAATTGTATAAAAGTGATCTTTATGTTCCATAAATATGTGACAAATTGTTCTCTATGTTGAACAACATCCTCTCTCTCATGACCTAAGAAATATGGTCTTGCTTTATTTTCTGTATATTTGTAACCAAATCGTCGCAAATCTATTCTGCAACTTTCAATCGATCTGATCAGTTTATGTTCAACTTTCTTCAGATTGTTTAAATCGTAAAAGCGCTCATCAATAAATTTTGCAAGTTTTTCTAAAAACAATAGAGTTTATGTAAAATGAAACATCTTCTCGTACATATTTCTCAGAAATATATTCTCACCAGCTGTAAATGTAGCTTCTTTTTTTGAACATTCTTGGAAAGCAAAATCTTTAGCTTCCATTTCTAAATCTGTGTGCAAATCCCAGAAACTGTCACATTATTTTCCTCCTACATGTTACATGAAAATTCGCTTTGCACATGAAATATATTGGTTTTAATTCAGCTCACTGTAGCGGTATTTGCCGTTACGGTTCACTTTATGTACTTTATCCTCTTCGCTGCATCCTATATTTGTGCATTGACCTGATGAACTCTCATTGTTCTATTGCGTGACCGTTTCCTCTTTGTCTATATTCGCCCAAGCGTGATCACTCTCGCGTATATAAGGGAATGTAGCTAAAGGAAATGCACGACTAGAGATGTGCAGATGGCACAATACACCATCATGCCGATGGGCATAGGCGACACTCTCTATGTTCGTCACACCTATCATTCAGCATATCGTACTTTCAAGAAAGTAGAAATTCATCGGTGAATTCGTATGCGCTTTTCTAGAATATATTTTACTAAACTCAACAACTTATTTTCTAGTTTACAGTGTATGATCTAATGAAATTGACAATTCAGTTCCTTTTACTATCAATCAGGAATTCTCCTACTACCGTGCATATAGTATAACTACTGTTGTTAAAAATTTAATTTGATAATCACCGCCTTTATTCGATTTTCAGCAAAGCTTGTACATGACATTTTCCACCAATAACACAAACATCACTTTCAATGTTCCTATGTGCTATAGTACCTATCTGATAAACATTCCTTGAAACACCATCAACACTGGACAACGGCGACCAGTATCCGTTAACATGAAAAGAATAAAATCTTTGAAAGAATGCCAATAAAAAATATGGTGCCACAAGGAAACACTTTCATGGGCGCGTCACAAGAAGATACCCATAACTATATCAATCGACATTCACACTTTCACTGATATTTCTAGAATTCCTTTCGATAATAGCAGTACCCTAGCCAACTTCTTCGTCAAAAAATATACCATTTCTAACCCAAACAACCGAAACAATACAGAGAACTACCTAACAAACCAAAGGATATATAAATACCAACAAAACCGACCGAAAGCAAAGCTTAAAAAAGCGAATTTCCAGACCCATCCATGTCATCATTCCAATCTAACCATATCCACACTCTATCTGATCATGCAGTATTCGAACAATTTCATCATAGACTATGAACATATGATGTTGGATGAGGTGATGGAGTCGCAAGGTTTGCTTCGAAGTGAGCAAAAGAGGTGAACAGAAGTCTGTTCAGGAATGTTCGTTTGGCATGTGATGTTGGATGAGGTGATGGAGTCGCAAGGTTTGCTTCGAAGTGAGCAAAAGAG